GGCTAGGAGAAGGTTTCTTGAGTAGTGGAGAAGCCAGATGAAGGAAAGCAATGTGCAAAAAAGACCTTAGTGGGGAGTGGGCAGGAGGGTCAGTGTGGTGTCAGACTCTATACCCTGACAAGGCTAGCATGCCCAAGACACAGCTTCCCCCTTTCTTTAAATGAGAGAAAGTGGATCCCTGAACTTTTAAGGCATGTTGTCCTCAGAGTAATAGAAGATGAAAGGACAATGATTCGGTCATACTTTGCATAATGATATTAATTTCAAAACACCTGACAAAAATAAGTAATCACATGAAGATGTGGAGTCTATGGTAGCATAGACTGTCAGGACTGGACAGATTTGTTCTGGGATCTCAGGCAGACCACCTCTTGTACTCTTGTCCCTCTTCTCCCTGCTGGCACTCTTCCTTATGTGCATGGCCTATAAGACTATCCTTACAGCAGTGACCTGGGACTCTCCCAGACACCTCAAGTGGACTTCAGAAAGCTAAATCAATACTGACCATGTCTACTCACTAGGAATAGAGGAGGTGGGGGTGAAAACATATAGCTAACTCAGAACTCTGACAGAAGAATCTCCTTGGCATGAGACGTGATGGGATTTTGAGATATGATGCAAGCACTTATTAATCATCAGTTTTTATTCACCAGTTGGTTTCCCCAATTGTGAAAGTGGTGTTGTTTTAAAGATAAAATTAGATGATAGTATAAAGTGCAATGCTAATGCCTGTAATCTATGAGCCATGTATTCTTCCTGACATATGTGTGGATGAACCCATCCAGGACAGGTGCATAGTTACTCTCCTCAGGTCACACATGCTCACAGTGAACAGATATAAGTGTATAATAAATGACTAATTGGTAAAAAATAATTAGGAAAATTTTCATTTATTTAATGAAGGTCTGAAATGCTGAATAGAATGAAAAGAAACCTGTAAAGAAATGAAAAGAATGCATCATATTTTGGATGGTACAATTTTGCAAACATCACCGTCTTACAACACTTTATTCATCTTAATACCTAGGAAAATACTACATACTACTGGGTAAATTGTGAGGACAGGAACTGTTAAAGTAGCAGACAGTGAGGACAAACAGAGGCTGAGGCCAGGGTCTTTCCCCAAGACAGCTTCCATCTTGCGTCCCTTGGCTAAGAACCATACTCAGGACGACCAGAACATCAGGCCTGGAAGTCTTCCAAAATCAAAACTTTGACCATTGTACCAGACTAATGCTTTTAAAGCCAACATCTGTTAAGATATTTTCCTATAAAAGATCTTTACATATGAGATGTGTAGCCCTTCTAAGGACTTTGATCACCTTTAAGAAACAGCAGAAAATGGAATTTTTTAGAATGAAGAACTTTTTCTGTCTCATTTGTAGTAATGTTTGCACAATTGCAATTGATTTTAAAAATTCACTAAATTGCATTGCTAAAATGGATAAATTGTATTGCAAGTAAATAATGTCTCAAAATCAGGAAAAAACTGGAATAACCTAGAAGTAGAATAAATATTGTAGCTGCTCTGACAGTGAGCTAGAAAATAATTCTTTCAGTGAGAATAAACATGTTGAGTCCAAACTAATAGAAGACTAGATACAGTGGGGGAAGTTCTGGTAGTGGAAAAAATGGACTTATCCTGAGGAAAAGATATTAGAAAAATAGAATTTCAATATCTGCAGCTAATTGTGATGGGTTTAAAAAAAATAACATGCTAGAGACAGAGTTTAATGACCGATACTTCAGAAAGCTGGAAGAGTTCTTCCTGTACAGTTTATCTCACATTTATTCATAAAAGAAAAGTAGATATTTTTAACAAGTTGGCTGAAGCTAATAAAATTTAAGTTTAGCTAAGTTTACCAGGCTCTGTGTCTCAGAGAAAAATTCCTCAGAAGGCCAAAGGCAAGAGTTTACCTCCTTTCTAGCATGAGGAAAACTACTTCAATTGTATAAGAAATGAACCTCCTAAGGCATCAGCAGACATGAATGTCCACTGGGAAACTGGGACATCAGACATGTTTGAACTTGGTATGTCTCTATGGATTCTGGATGCTATGATTTGTGTCTAGTTGTCACTCCCAATGTCTCATGCAGTCATGGGTTTGTGGTTAATTCATGATCCAATGTTGGGATTAGGGGCATGAGAGCTGCTAGGATGATGGGTGCGAGGGCTACTCCTGCCCTGAGGCGAATGACCTGATTGCAATACAAGGATGTGAGAGAAGCTTGCTGGCTGCTGTACTGTGACTCCTTCCTTTGCTCTTTGCTGTCTTCTACCACCATGAACTCTGCCTTGGAGCCAGCCAAGTATGGATTGGAACCTCCACTAACTGTGAGCTAAACAAACCTTGCCTTCCTTAATTTTGGGTGTCAGGAATTTTGTTTGAGCAATGAGAAACATTGGATTTCCACAACCAAAGAAGCCCTGAAAATTTCTGCTCCCCCTGTGTGGACCTCACCAGAGAGGGTCTGGCTGGCCTCAGAATGGAGCAAAGCAAATGGTGAGAGAACACACAGACAGAAAGTAGGGTTACATGGACATCAGCGATCATGGCCTGGAAGGAAAGAGGTGAAGTGGAAATGTCCTGGGAAAATGGTGAGTTCACACAGAAGTTCCATTTTCTGGGTTCACCTGAGGCAGGGTCATGGCTGGATGGTGACTCCATAAACTAAACTCACAGTCACTAAAGAGAAGATGGCACTGCAATTCAGCATGTGCACACTCTTTGCTGAGTTTCTGTAATCCTGGGATTCGGTATTTATAGCACCTTCTTTCAAGCAGTGGGAAACTTGGAAAAGAAATTCCCTACCCAGTGTTGCTCTGATGAGTCTGTGGAAGGGAAATGGGTACCCTTGAGTGACAGCTCTGGGAAGCCCTCAGAAATACTAATGAACTGTGCCTGTCCCACAGGAGTCCAGCTCTTGGGGACCTGTGTGCTGATTCATGCCAATTCCAGTATTTGTCCTCTGGATGTTGGAAGAACAATGACAAATGTGATTCTTTAACATCCCCTTTTCATCTTTATGCAGACCTTGTTAAATGTGCCCCATTCTATGCTAATCACTACAGATACTGCCCATTAACCAGCACACACTTCCAGGGACACACCTATCACCTCTACTGCATTGATGAAGGAAATGATTTCTGTGGACAAGTGGTTGCCTAAGTTCACCAAGATGATCAAGGATTTAAATCCAGATCCTCATGCCCAAGGCCTTATTCCTCAGGACTACACTGTGGGCTTTCTGGAGAGAAAATACCCCTCTCATCAGACTTTTCCATCACAAGTCAACCATGTTCACATCCAGTTTAACAGCTCTCTCCCTGTCTGCATCCTTGTTCCCATAGCACTCACAGCCCAATTTACATGGTAGCTTTCTAATTTCTCCTAAGTTGAGAATTAGGACTGGATCTTACTACATTAATTCTCAGAGGAGAATCATGGTTTTAAGATCTGGTAAGCAAATAATGAGGACTACGTGGCCAGCAATGACCTTTAATTCAAAGATATGGAAGCTTCTGAACTTAGTAAAGCCCAGGAACACGTTCTGAGATCCCCAGTTTGAAATGCTCCACTCCTTGTGGCTGAAACCAAACATAAAGTCTTTTCCGGATCCAATCCATTCTTTCTGGATAGAGATGACAACATCTAACCAGGCAGAGCAGATCCAAGAAGACACAGCACGCCTATTTTGGCATCTAAAGAGCATACAAAATTGGAACATGGTGAACTGCAACAGGATTATAACAGCAACAGGATTACACACTGCAGCCCTAAAGAGGCAACAGGACACAAAGAAAAGAGCAGATCTCTCTCTTCTCTTGGTATTTTCCCTTCTGTGAAGTTTACAAAATATAGACAACTCCTCCTGCCACATTCATTTGCCAATCTTTCATTAGCTCCTTAGCCTGCAAAAGAGATTACCTAATATCTTTTATTCACTTGTGCAACAATTCAGAAATCATTTGCCTACTATATTTCAGATTTTAGGGAAACTTAAGTGAGAGACCACAGACCTTACGCACACCCGTTGCAATCACTTTCCTCAGAGACTGCGTTTTTTCTTACCTTGTGGTTGTTTGGGGGCAGCTGAGGTCAGGAAAAGAAGAAAATGTGTAATTGATCACAATATTAACCCAGAAACCCTATGGTAAGGTATGGATTTAGTTTTTCTTTTTCTTTTTCTTTCTTTTTTTCTTTCTTTCTTTCTTTCTTTTTTTTTTTTAATCTTGGATGAGGGAGTGTCTCTGAGAGAAGCATGAGGTCACATCAATAAAAATGTCATCTGCAGATCCCCAAACTAATGGACTTGAATTGGGACTTAATGGTACTTTAAAAGACATGGCTCTGATTTATAAAAATCCTTCCTAGTAGAAAGAAAGATGTAATGGTCTGGCTTATCTCTTCATGTTTAGAAATTTTCCCAGCATTACCTGGGGTTTTCTCCTATTGATTTGATTATTTGAAAGACTGCCAGAAGATGCTCTCTCTTATCAGAAGGCGTCACTGTTCCCTACAAAGTGGTCTAATCTTTCCAGTATGGAATCTTAAATCCTCCAGGACTTTCCCACAAACAACACTGTAGCAAATCTCCTAGAGCCTCCCTCCAAATTATACCATACCCACTTTCCACAGCAAGCATTTTTTTTTCGTCTTTAACCCTGTGTCACTCTTTTATTATAAAACAGCTGTTTCCCATTTTTCCTACTTTGTTCTCTTCCCCCTTATCAGAGCACCCTAAGGACAATGGGCCCAGGACATTTGTGTTCTCTGTTCACAGGAACTCGGCTTCGTAAACACCCTCGAAGGCAGGGCAGGTTCTGGCAGCCTGCTGTGGGTCCCCTGAATCTGTCGCTCGAAGGATCGAATGAGATTTCAACCAGGCAAGGGCTGCTGGGTTAGCTTCATTCCTCCATCTGGCTTCGGGATTAGCTTTACCAGGCGCACTCTCCCTTGTGCACTTGTGCCTTAAGAGGAGGAGGAGTGGAGACCGCTTGGGGCTCAGGGACACCACGGTTTGCACCAAGACAACTTCATGAGTGAGGGAAGACAAAGGCTGCTCTATGCTATTCCAGGAGGACACTGTGCATCCCAAAGACCTAACATTACCTTCTTCTGCTAGGACTCATGAGGCACCGCTCACCCACCAAGCCCCTCGTCCCAAATGAGAAAGCAGGCCTGGACTGGGGGTGGGGACAGCAACTGCGCTCCGAGCAGAGTCAGGAGTCTGCGGGATGCTGTCTGGGCTGCACGTGGGGACCAGAACAGACCCTGCACTTCCCAGGACCACTGCAGCCAAGCACACAATCCCATCCCGGAAGCTGCTCCTCATCCTTCCTGCTCTAGAAGCCTCTGGCGAGTTTCCAGCACAATCTCCTCCATTACTTCTGGCTTTAAGATATCTTTGATCTGGTGCGGAAGGGACGCCTCGTAGCAGTACAGAATGCTGGTGTCATACAGCATCATCCTCTGGGTCACCAGTGAGACCACGCAGTTCTGGAGCCGGGATATCACCTCTCGATCAGTCAGCGACACAGGCTCCAGGTCTGGGATGAAGCCCCCTGCGTCCTCGTCTTTGTGCTCCAGGCTTGGGTAGATCCAGACAAAGCCATTGTTGCCCAGGATCACGGAGGCGCCGCACGGCAGGTCATGGAAGTGAGTCTTCTGCCGCTTCACCAGGGAGGGAGAGACCTGCACCAGCACGCCCTGGCCTAGTTTTCCATACTTCAGGCTCCTCGTGTGCAGGGAGACGGCTCCGTCAGAGAACACTGCTTGGACCTCTGCGCTGATGAGGTCTCCTTCCTGCAGGAAGCCCCGCATGGCAAGCTCGTCCTCTGCAGATCGTCTCCTCAGCTCTCCACCTGGAAGGTTCATGGACGAGAGGAGCAAGACCGAATCCAGCCTGGTGTTGGTATCCACCTTCCACCTCTTCTGCTGAACCTCCGTGATTCTCCCCACTACAATGTCTCCTACTTCACCATTGTACCTGGTTTTCAAGGCTTTCACACAGATCAGCTTGTTTACTCTCTCCACAGAGCCGGCCACAGATGCGATGAGCTTCTCTTCCCCCATGTACGTGCCATGGCCCCGCATGAAG